GCGTCCCGCGTTGTTTGTGGTGGCCGTCGTGCTGTGCTGCGTGTGTGGCTGTGCAGCGGCCCCTGATGTGAGTGATAATGGCGGGGATCCAGTGATTGTTAACATGAAACAGGCGAAGGGGAAGGTGGCTGAGGCCAGGAATGCGCTGAATGAGGTCAAGAATAAGGTGGATACTGTAAAGAGTGCGACGGAACAATTCAAGGCTGCGGCTCAAGCGGCGTCACAAGCGGCTGCTGCGCTTTATGAAAAAGTGAAGGAGGCGGCCAATATTGAGAAGAATAAAATTACTGAGGTGGCCAGCTTGGCGAATAAGGCAGTGAGCACGACTAAGACGTCTCACGAATCCGTTGCTCTTCTCTGTAAGAAGGTGAAGGAAGCGGGGGAAGCAACAACCAGGGCAGGAAATTTGGTTGCGGATGCGCAGGGGATGTCTCGCAGCGCCGCGGCCGACGCAGATGAAGTTGTCAGCAAAGAAGCGGAGCTCGCACAAAAGGCATTCGAAAAACTGTTAGTAGTTCTGAGGGGACTCTCAGGGGCGCAGAAATGTTCTGAAGAAACAAAAGAAGATGCGACGACGGAGGCGTACGCTTTTAATGCCATGAACAGCGCCAAGGAGGCGTTTGGTTTTTTCAAAGAGGAGACCCCCAAAGCACCGTTAATTGTAACCGAGGGTCTACAGAATGCCGCTAAAAAAGCTGCTGACCTTGCAAAGGATGCAGCGGGCGACGCGGCAGCGGCTTCGAGTACTGCCAAAGAGGCATCGGGACACGCTGAGAACACCGTCAAGAGCGCTGAGGCGTGGCTGGGGCAGATCGAAGACTCACTAAAGCCTCTTAAAAAACAAGAAAAGGGACCTGAGAGTTCACCTCCGGAACCGTCACAGGACGAGTCACACAGCCAGAGTCTCACACAGGATCCACTGGCCAGTAGTTCCACTGGTGGCAAGCCTTCTGATCAACAAAAAGCTGATACCACGGCGACCGACACAGAGAAGTCCTCATCAGTACCATCAGAAGTGAACAGGGACACAAACTCCATAAAGAGCAATGTACACAACACCCTGAGTGATGTCCGGAGGACTGACAGCAGCGTTAGTCCTCCGTGGGTGCGTACACCGTTGCTGCTGGTGGTGGGTGTGCTGGGCCTCCTGGCTGTCTGCTGAGCTCTGTGTGTGCACACGGAGAGGACGCATACACCCTGTGCTTGTGTGTGCTCCACTGGAGATTGTTTACTAACATGTTTTGGTTTACTTTACTTTTCGTTTCATTTTCTTTTCGTTTGTTTCCCCCGCGCCACCTAATCCCCCTTGGAGGATACTCCCTGTGCTCTGTATCCAACGAGGGCAGCGCATCTCTCTCACTGCTGTAATGGGCTTTGCTTGGCACATGACTGTGCGCCGCCCACATGAGAGGGCCTTCTCTGAAGTATTCTTCTTAATGACTCTCTCTTGTGTGTGAGCTGCGCCATGCTTCGCATGTTGGGCTGCTGCTGCTGTTGGGAGGTCGTCTGCGTGGTGGTGCTCTCCCCTGCTGTGCTTGTGTACTCCGCTGTGCGTCCCCCCTCCCCCTCCTCTGTAGACCAGTGTGCCTCGGGCTGTGATGATGGCGGCGGTGGGGCGTCCCGCGTTGTTTGTGGTGGCCGTCGTGCTGTGCTGCGTGGGTGGCTGTGCAGCGGCCACTGCTGAGGGCATCGGTGACGAGGAGCAAGTGATTGTTAACCTGAGGAAGGCGAAGGAGGAAGCGCTTGATGCCAAGAATGCCGTGAATGCGGCGAAGAATAAGGTGACCGCAATCAAGGAAGCAACGGAGCAATTCAAGACTGTGGCAGGCAAGGCATCACAAGCAGCAGTTAATCTAAATGTCGCAGTGAAGGCGGGGACAACAATTGAGACGGATAAAGTAGGCGATGTAATCCGCCTGGCGAAGGAAGCAGCGAGCACGACAAAAACGTCTGCCGACTCAGTTACTTCAATCGGGGATAAAGTTACAGAAGCAGTGAAAGCAACGACCACGGCAGAAACGTTGTTGAGGAAAGCGCAGGGGACGGCTGGCAGTGCAGCGAAGAAACCGATTGAAGATATCAGCACAGAGGCAGAGCCCATAAAGGCGGCATTCAAAAAACTACCAGAAGTGTTGTCGGCACTGAAACAAGCCCAGAATAGTGCTGAAGAAGCAAAAAAGGCTGCGACGAAGGATGGCGATGCTGTCAATGCCAAGACCAAAGCTGAGAAAGCGTACGAATCTGTCAAGAATAAGCCTACCAACACACCGTTATCTGAAACTAACGAACTAAAGAAGGATGCTGAAGAAGCTGAAAAATTAACAACCGCTGCAGTGAGACATGCTGAGACGGCTTCCAGTGCTGCCAACGCGGCATCTGGACACGCTGAGAAAGCCGTCAAGGCCGCTGAGTTGCTGCTGAATGACATCGACGTTGCATTGAAGGCTCTGAAAACACAAGAAAATGAACCTGAGTCTTCATCTGCAGATACTGAGCCTCCGTTACCTCCATCTTCGGAACCGTCACAGGCAGAGTCAAACAGCCAGCGTCTCCAACAGGATCTACCGAGCAGTACTTCCCCTGCTGATAAGCCTTCTGATCAACAAAACGCTAGCACCATTGCAACCGACAAAGAGCAGTCGCTATCAGTACCATCGGAGGATAAGACAGCCGTAGAATCCTTGGAGAACGCTGCTTCTCAAGCTGCTGATGCGCCACTGACACCTCCCAAGAGCGATGCACAAAACACCCTGAGTGATGCCCCGAGTAGGGACAGCAGCGTCAGTCCT